ATATAACCGCGACGACACGTATCAAGTGTGTGGGCTTACACACACATACACATACACACACACACACATGTATAGATATATATTACCATGAGCATTGAGCGCGTGTAAAATTGTACATGACGCGTGTTGTGTTATTATTCTCGTGGTCGTCGGGATGCATCGAATAAACTTATGGGATCACATTCTACCTAGGATAGGATATTCCTCCCAACAACCACCGGACCATATCAGTTGAATCCTAGTACGTATCTCCACTGTGTTCGCTCCTTTATGTTTCACGTCAATATTATACTGTATTTTACTAGTCACGTCATCTTCTCTGAATTCCTCGTTGAATTTTCACTTTTTTAGACACTAGTTATTATATTCTTGCTTATAAAAAGTGATAGTTGATAATTTCCAACTTGCTGACGTATAATTGTCAAAAAAAGTACTCATGATAATTTTACTCGAAAGGATTTTACCATTTTTCCCACTTATTTTTTTCTATAGCGTTTCTAGGTTAAGGAGGGGGAGTAAATTTCCATTTCTGTGAAAAAAATACTAGACAAGTTTACAATTTTCGTTCGGTATTATATTATTAGATGGGTTTTTGTTTACTTTCAGTTGAACAAATTTAATTTTTAATTAAACAGGGTCTTGTTAAGGGTAAATAATATTATTTTGAGAATAATTCTAGTGTTAAAAAAATATGGTTTAGTCATAAAACTCTAACTAGAATAGAAACAGTTATAATCAATTGTTGGAGAATCTGGCTGAATTTTTGGCTCGTATAAAAATTGTTAACAGTGCCTTGTGTAAATGTGGAAAAAGTAACAAAAACCTTAATCATGTTGTGTGGCAATGTTCATTCTATGTGAGTCAACGGTCAACTTTACCTAGAAAGCTATTTAATATGAAAATTTTCTTGACCCTGTGAATAGAAATATTCCTAAATTTTTTATAATTATAATATTCCCATTTATTATTATTCATTTTATTATTATTATTATTATTTATATTATTATATTATAAATATATAAAATTTATATAAATAAAATAGTTAATTAAAACATAATATAATTAAAATTCGTTATAAAATAATTTTCAGTTTTCATGGTATTTTGAATAAATTTGATAATATTTATGACAGTATTTAAAAAGTTGTAGTAAAATTTAAAAACGTTGCGAAACGAAAAAATTTTTTCTGTTTATTTACTATTAGTAAATGGTTATTAAAATATTAAGTTTTAAAATACATCTTAATTACCTGACACTAGGAGAGTGACCTTTTTTTTGTTTTTTTTTAATGTATATACTTTTCTCATAAACTCTGTGAAGTATACGTAGTACATCAGTTTGCGTAAAGAATAATTATTTCCCACGAATTGAAATTTATCTTGAGAAAATGTGTACAAAATGATGAACACAAGAAGTTAAAAAATTTGATCAAACAATTTTAATTATGGTTTATTTTAGATGGTATATTTTTTTAATTATTAGGCAATTTTTTTTTTTTAAAGCACAATTTAAAAAAAATTTAAAAACCCCAGGCCTCGGATATTATGACTTTCGACTATTATCAAATAATGCGATTTTTATTGACTTAATTTGAAAAATTGCGACTTTTTCGACATTTTTTTAAAAAATTTTGCGACAAAATAACAAATTTTTAGTAAAACTACAACTTATTTCGATTTTTATTAGTATGAAAAGTATAATAGACAAATTTTTGAAAAGTTAATTTGGAATCATTTTTCTAATTAAATTTTCGGAATATACAATTAAAAAGTATGAATAATTGAAATTTTGTAAAATTTAATTGTAAAATAATTGATTTTTTTTCAAGTATTTTATTATAAATTTTGAAAATCAACTTTTGAAGAATTTCAATTTGCAAAATTTTGAAAATAATTTAATTCTAAAAAATTTTAATGAAAAATCTTCAAGTGTAAATTTAATAAAAATGAAAATTAATCAAAATTAATTTCTAAAAGTTATATTTAAAATATTTTTGAAAAAAGTAATTCTCGAAATATTTCATTCTAATTTTTAAAATTCAATTATTTTCAAGATTTTCGATTACCTACATATTTCCGAAAATACAAATACAAAAAAAATTCAAATTCAAATAAATAAAAATAAAATGTAAATAATATTAAAATTTTTTACAATTATTTTTTAACATTTTGGAGATAATAATTATAATTATTCAAAATTTTTAATTAAAATTTTTCAAAAAAAAATAATTAGGTTTTTTTAAATTATACAAAACTTCTTTTTATAAATTCACTTATTTTCGAAAAATGACATTAGAATATTTATAAAAAACTATCAAATTTCAATTATTTTTCAAAGATTTTACCAAATTTCAATTATTTTTCAAAGGTTTTATCAAATTTCAATTATTTTTCAAGAATTTTACCAAATTTCAATTATTTTTCAAAGGTTTTATCACATTTTAATTATTTTATCAAATTTCAATTATTTTTCAAGAATTTTACCAAATTTCAATTATTTTTCAAAGATGTTATCAAATTTCAATTATTTTTCAAAGATTTTACCAAATTTCAATTATTTTTCAAAGGTTTTATCAAATTTCAATTATTTTTCAAGAATTTTACCAAATTTCAATTATTTTTCAAAGGTTTTATCACATTTTAATTATTTTATCAAATTTCAATTATTTTTCAAGAATTTTACCAAATTTCAATTATTTTTCAAAGATTTTATCAAATTTCAATTATTTTTCAAAGATTTTAGCAAATTTCAATTATTCTTCAAAGGTTTTATCACATTTCAATTATTGTTCAAAGATTTTATAAAATTTCAATTATTTTTCAAAGATTTTATCATATTTTAATTATTTTTTATAAGATTTAACCAAATTTCAATTATTTAAAAATATTTTTAAAAAAATTAATATTAAGTATTTGTTTATTAAAATTTTTGAAAATTTTCCTTCTTAAAAATATTTTTAAAAAAATGGACAGTTTCAATTATTATAAAAAATTAAATTTTTGTATTTAAATAATTGAATTCTCGAATAACTTTCGGAAAATTATTAAAAATGAATAGAGATAATTGATTGAGAGATGAAGTTTAGTTAAAGATTGTAGAAAATAATTGAATTTTTGAAGGTTTATAGTTGTGATTTTTAGAAATTATTAAATTTTAGGAGTCGACATTTTAAAAATTTTATTTCTCGTGAAAAAAGAAATAAGAAGTAAGTAACTTGAGATAAAAAAAGAAAGAAGTGTTTTTTTCTACTAGTTGAATTATTAATGTAATGTTTTTATTATGAAATACCGTAAATAAAAATACAATTAAATTTAAATCTCAGATAAGTGTTTTGATAATCATTGCAATGTGTCATTGACTTGTAAATTATTCTTTAAATAAAGTGAAATTCTGTTTTTTGAGAAATTAATTGTCGCTTGAAAAACTACTTCTTTTGTTCATGATTTTCTGTGAGTTAAAGTGCTGTGGCTATCAAATAACTGCTACATTCACTGACTACAATTTTGCAGTTATTGCAGTTTAACAACTGGAAGAAAATTTTTCACTTGTTGCATTTGAGGCACATTATTTTTATTCATTAATATCATTTTTTAGTTCTTCTTTTACGTTAAAAGTGACTATAAAAATTATAGTACGTAAATTTCACTCAAGCAAAAAATATTTTTCCAAAATTTTTAACGTTCAAATGAAAAAAATTTTTTTCTGTTTAAATATTTTTTAAAAATTACTATACAAAAGAGAATAGTAATTAAAATTGAATATTTATTTAATCAATAATTAATTTTTTTTAATATTATATATAATATAATAATAATTATAACAATAATTATATTATATAATATAATATAATAATTAATATTTTTAATATTTTACAAAATTATTTGTTTTACAAAATTAATACAAATTAAAAGAAGCAAAAAAAATTTAGGAACATTAACAAATTTGCTTATGAAGAGTAGATATTTTTGTAATCAAAAGTGTGGAAAAGATTTTATAAAGATTTATTTTATTTATTTATTTTATATGAAAATATTTGTTTATTTTCCAGGAATTGGTTTTTGACTATTGAAATACCATTTAAAAGGAAAAAAAAACTTTGGACAAAAATTAATTCGAGAAGAAAATACTTAATTTTTTTTAAATTCCTTACTTTTAATTAAAATTACGATAATTTATTTTTCCAACGGAATTTTGTTCTTATAATCTTATGACACGTGTATCATGGTTTAAGAATATTTTCATTTTTAATGTAAGATGTTTCTTTGAAAGCATAATAATTATAACATTTTCTAAATAATTTTTTATTTTAAATTGAATTGAAATATATATATATATATATATATATATATGTATATAAAATATATTGTCTAGGCTTAGATTAGCTTTTGACTTTGTATGTTTAAGAGTTGATGTAGGTCATATGAGATTTATTGATATCACAAAAAAATTAAAAATACATAAGGTATTTGTAATCATGTGTGTTACACACCTTGATAATAATTACATAATTTGTGTTTTTAAAGAGATTTCACACGTGCAGGGACAGTCAAACAATTTATTTTTAATTTTATTTCTCGCCTCCATAATTAAACAATATGTTGCGAAGTTCGGTTTTTTTTTTTAATAATTTTCATTTTGTGTACATTTTAGTTTTGTATTTTATTATGTTTAGTGTCCTGAAATTTGGGATTTTTTTTGATAATTTCATTTTTATAAATATTATTTTAGCAATAGAATTAATATTTATAAAAATATAAAATAATAAAAATCTGTCTTGTTTAACATTATTATGAACAATATTTATGAAGTTATAAATTATTGTTATTATTATTATTAAAATTATTATTATTATTACTATTATTACTATTATTGTTATCATTATTATTATTAATATTGTTGTTATTATTATTATTAATATTGTTGTTATTTCTACTTTGAATTTTATGAAAAAATGTAATTTGAAAAGTATAATTTATAATTTGTTTTACTTTGAATTTTAGGAATTATCTGGCCAAAATAGTAACGATAGTTCGAATGGACCTGCTGGTCCTGGAACACCAAATTCCCAGGGGATGAGGCCTACCCCTTCGCCTACAGGGTCCACAGGTTCTCGCTCGATGTCCCCTGCTGTCGGTAAGTTTAATATTATTTTTCGTATTTCGTCAAAAATTTACTTTTTGAGTAAGTCTAAGAATTCAAATATTAAAGTTTTTAGCTTTCACAGTCTCAACAATTTCTAGGATTTTTTATTTAAGAATTGACAAAATTATTGATTCTAAAGCAGAGCTGTTAAAAGTCATGATTCAATTTTTTTTTATTTGAATCAAATTCTTCCTGGAGCTTGGTTTTTTAGTAATGATAATAAGAAATTAATTTTACAATGAAAGCAACAAATAGTAGCTACTTTTATTTTTCTTAAGAAACTATTTAAACGAACACGTTGAAAAAATAAATTACTACCTTATTCAATTTAATTAACAGTTTTTATATTTAATAAGATATATTGGTTTTCTTGTGAGTTTTTTAGTTTTTGAATTTAAAACTTTAAACAAGAGTACTAGCAGAAGGATACAGAATTTAATTTCCAACAATTACAATTTTTTGGCAATAAGAAATATTTGTTAAATATTAGATTATGTTACTTAAATCGTTTCTTATTGATGGAAAATTGTAATTTTTATTCAAATGTAAATTTTAATTGTTTGAAATGTTCAACATTTAATTTTTCATGCTTCCACTAAATCGAATTAATTAATTTATCTTTTTTATATAAAATACGAAATCATGACTAATTTTTGCTATGAAACTGAATTTACCAAATTTTCGTTAACGCAAAAAGTGAAAAAAATATTTTTTAAAACCAAGAAGAAGAAGAAGAAGAAGAAAATTCTGAATTTTGGTGACTTTTGTTTGCCTCATAAACTAGAAAATTACCACTAATTCTGATATGAAACCTTCATTTTTGTCTATTTCTTACAATAATTTATTTCAAATAATTTAATTCTTTAAAAATAAACATAAAATTATTACTTAAAAATTATTTAATGAATAATTTTACTTAAATATTTCAAAACTAATTGACTTTTAAAAAAGTTGGATTTACAATATTTTTCTAAATTAATTATTTTCAAAATGTTTCAATTGGAAATTTTACAAATTATTGCAGAAATTCAATTATATTCAAAAAATTTTATTTTTTAAATTTCTGACAAAATTTCAATTATTTTTATAAATAATAAAATTCTTCTCCGAAATACAATTATTTTCAAAAATTTTAATAAAGTTCTTGTCAAAATTTCAATTATTTTTAAAAATTTTCCTTAATTCAATGATTTTTAATATCTAATATTTAAATAAAATTTTTCGAAAGAATTCAATTATTTAAAAAAATTTTTAATAAAATTCGACGCAATCATTTAATTATTTTCATATAAATAATAAAAATTTCACAGGAATTCAATTATTTACAAAATTTTTTTAAATGTCTTTATAATAATTCAATTATTTTCATAAATAATAAAATTTTTTCCAGGGATTCAATTATTTTTGAAAATAATTTAATTCCTAAAAAGAATTTTATTATTTATGAAAATAATTGAATAATGAATAAATTTTATGTTACAATTTTATTAAACTTCGTCAAAGGAATTCAATTATTTAAAAATTTGTTGATAAAAGTCTTTATGAGAATTCAATTTTGAGAATCATTCAATTATTCAATAAATTATTTGCTTTTGTATTTAAATAACTAAATTCTCCTAAAATTTTGCAATAAAAATTGATTTTAAATAGAATTACAGTTAAAGTTTTAGAAAATAATTTAAGAGAAATAATTAAAAAAGGTTTCAAATTAAAATCTTTGAAAATCCCAATTTTTCATACTTTTAACTAAGAATTCTGTAGAATTAATTTTTTTGAAAAAGTTTAAGGGTCAGTTTTACTAATACTGATTAAAAGTTAATCAATGATTAAATTCTTAATCAACAAATCATGAGCCGTTAAACTGGCTTTAATAATTAATTAACTTTTAATTGAAGTTGGTGGAATTAGCCCTAATTGAATTTTTTTGAAATTATTTGAAGTTTTTATTTTCCATTATATATTTATTTGGAGAATTTCCGAATAATGTAAATTTCGTAAAATTGACTTGTAAATAAATGGATTTGAAAATTCTCAAAAAACTTTTTCAAAACATTAAAAATAATTGAATCTAATTACTTTTAGAGTGAATCAGAATATTCTTTAGGGTCAGGAAAAAAATTAAAATTTTCTCTGGAAATCAGGGAAAAACAAAATTAAATTTTTTGGCAATCCTGTTTAATCTTTTTTTATTTCTTTTTGTCAACGCAAACGTTGGTAATTTTAGTTTCATTCATCTTTTGTTTCGATTTTTCTTTCAAGTTGGTTTAAATCATAACAGCTCTGTTTTAAAGGACTCTGAAGTTGGCGTCGAAGTTTTAAGAATGAAAACTATTTTTCGGGGCTTTTTCAAGGGCACTCTTTAAAACCACACTTGAAAAAATGTTTTCGTTTTTGTAAATTCATGAAAATAATTTTTTTTTTATTTTCCTCGTCGACACCAACTTTTGGGACCTAATTTTAATTCTTCAGAGAATTATATATGTATAAAAATTGTGAATTAATTTCTTGAATTTTGTTCATTAATTACTAATTTGTTGGTTAGTGGAATATTTGTAAAATATCGATACTTATTGTACTTGTCTTGCAGCAGGTCAGCAAAACGTTCAGATGCCTCCACGACCGTCAAGCAGTCAGTCAGATGGAAGTGGACCAGCACGAATGAGTCACTCCCCCATGGCTACTCAAGGTAAGGGAGATTTATCAAAAATTTAATTAGAATTCAGTAGAATTGATAATTAATAATTGATAATTAATAATTAATAATTTATTTGTTTGTTGAAATTAGGAGGATATCAACAACCCCTTGGTCCTTCACCGCACATGCATAGTTACAAAATGAATAGCAGCGGTCCCGGCGTGGTCCAACCAGGACCAGTGCCAACAGGACTTGGCGGTATTAATCCAATGAGTAGCGGAATGGGATATGCAGCAGGTGGGGCTGCCGCGAATCAACCTGGTGGCTACCCTGGACAGGGTGCTTATCCTCCTCCTCGGCCACACATGCAGTTTCCTCAGGGTTACCCGCCGCCAACAAACTCACAACCGCCGCCGAACAACCAATACCAATCAGCTAGATCAAACAATATGGTGCAATACCCTCCTTATCCGGTAAATTTCATTCAGACTTTTATTCACTGGCCAACCACAAAAGTTTCTGTCGTGTCTCCATTTTTTTTGTTTTAATTTTCTTTTTTAGTTTTTAACTTGAAAAACAGTGACAATTGGAAATTTTACGATTCATTTTTCGATTTACAAGAATGTAACTTGGAAAAATTATTGTTAAAATCGTAGAGAAATTACTTGGTAATTTCTGGGGCTGATGGTCCTGGAAAATTTGAAATTGTCTTGGAATTTGATGAAATGGTTTTAAAAATTTATTTCTTGAAAATTGAATTGATCAAATTTCAAATTGCCAATGTTAATATTCTTGCTACTTCTTTCTAATCATACAATTTGGATTAAAATTAAGAGCAGGGATCACAGTTCTCTTTTTTCTAATCTCCTTTATTTCTTCTCTTTTCCTTTTTGATTCCCTTAAATTAATCAAATTTCCCTAAACACCTAAAATCGGAAATATTCTCTCCTAGTTGCCTTTCTTTTAAGAAAAACTTACAAAAATTGACATTTTTTTGTAAGCTAGAAAAATTTTTGATTAAGTTAAGGAACAAAATTTTAACTTTTTGCAAACTTTACAAGGTTGCCTCTTTACTTGTTGCCACAAGGGAAAAGTCAGGAAATTTTATCAAAAGCACTGGAAAAATATTAAGTTTTTAGAATTCATAAGAAAATTTTGGATTTCGTTGTCAAGCAGCCGAATATTTTGAAAATATTGAAAAGATTTAATTCAGGGTGACTGTTGTTTTCTAAAGTTATTGGGTTTTTTGTATTGGAAAAATATTCAATTTCTAGAATTCATAAGAAAATTCTGAATTTTTGTTTCTATAAACTATAAAATTACCACAAATTCTAATACAAAACCTTCAATTTTTTCTACTTCTGCCAATAATCCCTTATAAATAACTTTATTTTTTAATAACTATCATAAAATTATTACTCAAAAATGATTTAATAAATAATTTGACTTAAATATTTCAAAATTAATTGAATTTTAAAAAATTTGCGTTTACAATTTTCATAAATAGATGAACTTGAAAAAGTTTTAATTAGAAATTTTAGAAAACTTCAATTTTCAATGAATTTAATTGGAAAGAACTTAGATTTTTGGAAAATTTTAATAAATCAAATTCTTTTGTAATTAGTTAAAGTTTTTAATATATTATTGAAGTAGTTATTAAAAATAATGAATTTATAAAAGAATTTGAGCTAAAAACACTAAAAAAAAATTGAATTTTGGAGAAGTTACAAATGATTGCAGAAATTAAATTATTAAATCAAAAATAAAATTCTACACAAACGTTTAATTATTTTCATAAACTGTCATAAATATTCAAAATTACACAGAAATTCTGTAACTGTATTTACAAATTTTTGATAAATTCCTTTGCAGTAATTCAAGTATTTAAGAAAATTCAAATTTATTACAGGATTTAATTATTTTTAATACAATTTCAATCATTTTTCTAGAAAAATGAAATTATTTTTAAAAATTTTATAAAAATTCATCAAAAAAATTTAATATTTAAAATTTTTTTAATAAAATTGTTTATTAAAATGCAATATTTTGAGAAACATTCAATTATTCAATTAAATTCTCGTAGAATTTACGAATAAAAATTTATTTAAAAATGAATTTCAGTTAAAATTTGAGATAATAATTGAATATTAAAAGCCTTATAACGTGAATTTTTAGAAATAATTGAATTTTTAAAACATTTCATAATTTTAACTTATTCTGTAGGATTTTTTTTTAAAGTTGAATTGAATTTTTTTGAAACTATTTGAAGTTCTTATTTTTTTATTTATATTTAATTGAAGAGTTTCCTAAAAATCGAAATTTCGTAAAATTGAATTGTAAACAAGTTGATTTGAAAATTCTTAAAGAACATTTTGAAAAATTATTAAAAAATTGATTTAATGAAAAATTTTAGTTTGAAATTCTAGAAAATAATAATTGAATTGAAATAATAAAAATAATTTTGAAGAAGTTATGATAACAATATTCTTGTAACATAAATTGAATTGAAATGATGAAAATAATTTTGATGAAGTTACAGTAATAATATTTTTAGAATATAAAATAATGATTTTATTAAGATTTGAATTTGAATAGATATTTTGAAAATTTTAATTTAATAATAATGATTATATATTTATTTAAAAAAGAAGTTCTTTAGTCAGGGAAAATGTCAAAATTTTGTCCGGATTTCATGAAAAAGTCAGGGTAAAGAAAATAAAATTTTTGTGTCAACCCTAATTATTAAGTAATTTATAAAAATTTATTAGTTATTTAATTTGATAAAAAATAAATATGGTTTTAAAAACCTGGAAAAATTCCGATTTTTAACCTGGAAAAGTCAGGGAATTTCAAATAAGTAAAAGCGTGGCAACCAAAGTTTTGAACAAAATTTTAATTATCCTACGTTTTCCTTTATGTAAAAATTGTTCCTTAGAAACAATATAAAATTTTTACTCAGCAATGCAGAATTTTAAATAATTGAAAAATTTGTTAAAGAGAGAAATTGAAAAAATAGAGAAAGAGAGAGATAAAAATGAGTCAGGGAATTTTGAAAATGAGATTTTGTGGCCGTCATGGTAAATAGAAAACTAATGAATTTTGTGTGAATTGAAATTGTGCCGTATTTACGACAATGATATTTTTTGCAGCATAAAATGGGCTTCAATAGTGTGTCGCCCGGCATGCCACCGAGTCCTGGGCCACCGCAAGTGTACGGCACCAGCGCTCCAGGAAGTATGGTGCCTCCGGGCAATCCGGGAATCGGAGGCATTGGCAATATGGGCCCGCCAACGAGTTCCATGGGACCACCGCCGCCGTCTCCGAATCACGTGAGCAATCAGCCACCGCCAAACGCAGCAGTGCCACATCCACATCCACCGGCAGCAACACCGCCCCTCAATCACGAGGGCAGCCCAATGCCACCACCAAGTACTACTCCAAATTCACATCCAACCCCAGCGCCCACACCTACCAGCCATAGTTCTGCCGATCTCTCAACGGAAACGTCGAATGACAGTGGAATTACTACCACTGCCTCAGGTAGATTTTCAATATTTAAAAATTCAAAATCAACAAAAACACTCGGACAATTAATTTTCAAAAAGTTGGTTTACTCCAACGTTTCGAAATCTGACCGATTTCCTTTTCAGGGAGTCTATAAAAATATTAAATAATATACAAAAAAAATTTTTTAACATTCTTCAATCATTATAAGTAACAGAATATAAATTGTACAATACGAAAATTTTTTAATAAATCAATCTAACATTCATTCATAAATAAGTAAATAGTAAAGGTATCATAATATCTTACCAAAAAATTAATAAAGAAACATTCGTCAACAAGTAAAAGTTAAGAACAATTTACCCTTCAAACGTCAAAAGAAAACATTGAGTTTGGAGTCATAACTAAAATAAATGAGAATCGAAATTATAACTAAACTAGCAAATGATACGCACGCCAATGCGCGGAACGTGGTATTCCATTTTTTATTATTATTATGTAAATTAAAAAATTTTCAAGAATAAACATCAATTCTTGAATGATTACAAATTTAAAATTCTTTAGAGCAATTCAATTATTTACAAAAAATCTAATAAAATGGTTTAAAAAGAATTAAAGTTTCTATGAATAATTTTAATATAATTTAATAGGAAGATCGTTAATTACAATTAACAATAAACACGATTATTTTAAAAACTTAAAAGAAATTTTTCTTAAAATTCAATTATTTTCAAAATTATCAGTCAAAATTATTATAGAAAAAATTTTTTAAAAATTATTATTTACAAGAATATTGAAATAAATTCTTCAAAACAATTCAATTACTTTAAAGAATTTTAATAAAAATGTTTCCAAGAATATAAATTATTTTCAATACCTACAATTTTAATTACATTTTCTTGAAAGAATTCAATTATTGAAAAAAGTGTTGATAAAATTCTTGAAATGAATTCAATTATTTTCAAATTTTTTCATAAATACTTAACAAGAATTCAATGATTTTCAGTACATTAGTTTAAAAATTTTAATCTTCTGAAAAGAAAAATTATTGAAAAGGTTAGATAACAAAAAAGCAAACAGCAACTAACTTCAAACTGTGAACAGATTACCGGACATATTGTTAAATATGTCAGTTACCATCTTTTTGTCCCAAGAAAGCGGAAATAAAATTAGTAAAAAGTCAGCGAATTTTCTTTTAAGAAATTCGGTTTTTTGAATTTTTTGATTATTTTTAATAATTTTTGATTTTCTACCAAAGGGTTGAGACTATTAAATAAGTAAAGTGTTTTTGAAGAGTCCAAAAATAATAAAGCTAAATGCAGTAAAAGGAAAGAAAAAATGTTGAATTTTAAGAAATTCGGTTTTTCGAAATTTTGATTATTTTAGATTTTTTACCAAAGGGTTGGAGACTATTAACTATGAACTGTTATTAACTTATTATTAACTATTAACAGGGTATCTAATAATCAGGGAAGTCAGGGAATGTAAGAGAATATGTCAGTTACTATATTTTAGTCCTAAGAAAGCAGAAATAAAATTAGTAAAAAGTCAGGGAAAGGTCATGGAAAAGTCAGGGAATTATTTTCTCAATCCTTGTTAGACGCCCTGTGAAGAGGAAATCGGTTAGATTTTGAAACGTTGGAGTAAACCAATTTTTAAAAAATTAATTGTCCGAATGTTTTCGTTTAATTTCCTTTATCTATCATTTTTTATAATTATTATCAAACATTTTTTTTTTAATTTAACTTGGAATTTTAATTTTTAAAAAGTTGAGTTCCACGGAAGAAAGTTAGTTTGACGACTGTGAAAACTTTATAAAAAAGCCTGGAAATAATTTTACTAATGAGTCATTCCATTATATTTCGATCAAAGTTAGTGCCGACTTATTTTTAAAAATTATAATACTTTGTAGGAATATTATTTAAGGTCTCAAGATCACGAAATGAAAAAAAATTTTATTAAAATTCTTGTTATTTATTGTCTATTTTTTTGACAATAGAAAATATTTTTAAAAAACTTACTAAGTATTTACTGGAAAATTGTAAAAAAAATTTTTGCAATTTGTCAAGACTGACTAGATTTAGTATTACAAATTATCTAAATTATTGATAAAAGTACATATTAAATGATATGAAAGAATACACAAAATATGATTTTAAATTTTATCTGCAAAATAACCAAATTTTACGAGTTTTGTTTACTAATTATGAGAAAGTAGAATCATTAAATTAAAAAAATACTTACGAAATATAGAGTTCTTGCTATGTTCTTTTAGATTTTCTTTAAACTTTTCTTCTTTTTTTTCTTAAATTTTTGAAGCATTTTTAAAAAAAACCATTGTTATTAAATTTTTTAAATATTTTTTTTATATGTTTATTTTTGTAAATAATTTCAAATCATAATTTTTTAAAATATAAAATACAAAAAAATTTTGTAAAATTATGATTTGAAATTATTTAGAAAAATAATGAAGTAAATTTCCATATTAAAAATGGAATGACTTTAATACAAATTTTTTGATTGATATTTGTTAAAAATAAGCGAATTTATTTGTTTAAATGGATTATTGTGTAAAAATAGAAAAAATAATAGATAAAAATTGGAGTTTACAAACTTACATATGCAATGTCAATTGTCACCACATTTTAATTACATTTTTCTAAAAAGTTTGTAAATTTAAAAAAATTATAGACGTGAAAATTTTGAAAATTCGATTTGATATGAATTTGCATAGAAACGGTTCAAATTGAATTTCTAATCAATGTGAAATTGGAAGTTTTTTTTTACACAGTTCTAGTGCAAATTATTCAATAGATCCAAATTTCTGCTGGACAAAATTTATTTAGTCCGAATTTCAATCAATTTTAATTTACTCTTTGATTTTGAAAGTGGGCGAAGTCGTCTGCTAATTAAAATCAGTAAGAATTTCTACTAATTTCAGAGTTATCACAATTCAGGAAATCAGGGAATTTATGGAAAAGTTAGGAAATTTTATCAAAAGTACTGAAAACATTATTAAATTTCTAAAACTGATGAAAAAGTTTTGATTTTTGTTGTCTAAGCAATTTAATTTTAGAAAAGTTGCGTTTGCAATTTTTATTAAATAATTGAATTTCAATTTTTGAACATCTTAATTTCTATGAAAAAATAATGATAATGCAGTATTGCCACATTCAGGGAATTTTATTGAATATAATTTAATAAAATCAAATTTTAATAGAATTCATAACAAATTTTTGAATTTGTACATTTTTGAACTTTTTAAAATTTATTTTTAAATGAAAAATTTACAAAACTGAAGTTTTATTGCTTACTGCTTGAAAAATAATATGTGTAAGTATTTTTCCAAACGTTGATCATAAATGTGAACTTCACTGACGTTAGAATTCCTCAAAACGAATTAATTTCAATTATCATTTTCTAGGATTTTCATTTATTAGAACTTCTATTTAATTAATCACCCATTACACCATTTTTCATGAATGATTTCTCCTTTAACAGAATTCTTCTTTAAAATAATATTTCCAAAGGCGAATTTTTAATTAGAATTTTTTTTATTTGCTCAAATGGTGTTTTTTTGCTTAATGCCGGTTAAATAAAGTTTGTTTAATTAAATATTCTGTCCTACTTACAAGGTTGCTACAGGTCAGGAAAATGTCGGGAGATTTTTTTTAACAAAAGTACTGGAAAAATATTAAATTTCCGAAATTAATACAAAACTTTTGCATTTTGATTTTCGAAAACGTTTTTCAAAAACTTGGAAAACTTTAATTTTCCTTGAATTTGTTTTCATCTTAAAAACTTTTGAATCACAATGCGAATTTTAAAATAATTTGATTTTTCTTATTTCTGTAAATAATTAAAATTTAGAATAACTTTTTCGAAGTTAGTAATTTTAATTGACATTGAAAGTTTTTAAATTAAAACAGTCGCAATTTTCATAATTAATTACATTTCAAAAGTTTTCAAATTAAAATTTTGAAAATTTTTAATTGATGTGAAGAAAATAATATTTATTTATTTATTTTAAATGTTTCTGAGAAATTTTAATTCAAGTTTTTAAAGGTACTTAAATTTTTTAAAAAAAGTTTATTGAAGAATTATCAAACTGATGCAAATTTTGTGAGAGTGAATTGAAAATAATTAAATTTGTTAAAGAATTTTAAGGTTTTTAAAAAATCGAATTCAGTGTGAATTTCAATTTAATGGTAATTTACAAAGAGTCTTAATCGAATGAATTTATGTTTGTTGGTGTAAAATGCAGCATTAAAGGGTCAAAATTGCATTAAAAATAACTTAGTTTTGAAAGATTTATTAAAAACAATTTTTATGAATTAGTTAATTTTAAAAATACTTATAATTAAAATTTTGTTTAAAAACTAAAGTTTCGAAAAATTGAAAATTTTTTTTTTAAATTCTGAACAATTGGTTTTTAAAATATTTCACTTACATTTTTCAAAGTTTATTGAATTTTTATAAACACGGAATTAAATTTTTTTTAAATAATTCAAATTTCTAAGGTGTCTATAAAAAATAATTGAATTCTTTAATAAATCTACAAAATTTTTTGGAAATGATGAAGGGAAGTTCGCTTCAGTATGACTAATTTTATTTTTAAAATAAATAACTACAAGTTTTAAATCAAAATTTTCTTTTTAAAAGTTATCTCTTTTAACCCTTCAAGTAAAAAACAATAACTTTCCTTGAAAAACATTGTTTAAAAATCAAATTTTAAAAAAATATTTTCCTCAAAGGGTTAATAATTGAACTCCCCCTTGAATTTTTTAAAATGATCAGGGAAAAAATTAAAATTCTGTCTGGAAATCAGAGAAGAACAAAGTCAAATTTTTGTGGCAATCCTGATTTAATAAAAATAACGTTAAATAAAAATGTTTTAAATTCTTTTTTTCACTTTACTGAAAATTTCTCTTAATTGTCATTACATGTGAAAATTTATAAAATTTATAAAAAAAAACATTAATACGAAATAATGATATATAAACTTTTCCTCCAATTTTGAATAGACAATTTGTGTTTCAACAATTTTAGTCTTTTTTTTTGTCGTTTTTTAACTCAAACTAAAAGAAAATATAAAAGTGAAAAAATATTTGGCCAATTTACAAAACATGATATTGTATAAAATGTGAAGCATTCAAAGAAAATAGTTTTGTAATTTATCAATTGAAGTGTTGAATTCTAAAAGGGCGCTTGTATAAACAAGCGTTCCCCTCCTCTTTATGACAAAATAGTTTTTTTTAAGTGGGAGAAGGGGGATTTTATGCGGCGGTCAGGCGTACAGAGCCAGGGGTAAACATTTTCGAGCGAAATTATTTTTTATAACCTTCCATGATTTAGCACGTAGCTCAATTTTTATTAGTCTACATTTTTTCATGATAGTATTTTCAAAATACAAAAAACGTAATTTTTCGAATATTTCGGTTTTTGGGGGAATTTGACAAATTTTGTCAATTTTAAATATTGCTAAATAATTAATTTATTATTCTTTTTTTTGCAAATTTGCATGATTCAAATTAATTTTTTTCGATAAAATAAAACTTCTAGAAAAATTCAGCATTTTTATATTTTATATTATAGTTAATTTTAAAGCATTTTTTGTGAACTTTTCAATTCCAAAACTCTTTTTTCGAAAAAAAATTATTTATTCCCACTTTAAAAAAAACCCTTATTTTTCATCCTTTACAGAAACTGCATATTTTTTATTTTTTTATAATTTTTATTGGAAAGCTGAGATATTTTCCAGTAAATTATGTAAAGATAAAAAATGTAGGCCTCGGATATGAAGACTTTTTCGACTTTTTTCGACTTTTTTCGACTTATCTTCAAAAATTGCGACTTTTTTTTACTTTTCTTTCAAATATTGCAAGAAAATGCCAACATTTTTAGTATAAAATGCAACTTTCTTCGATTTTTATAGTTCGAAAAACAAAATAACTAGACAAATCCTTCAAAAATTATTTTTTAATAATTTTTCTAATTAAATTTTCGAAATATATAATTAAAAAGATTTTGAATAATTGAAATTTTGTAAAATTTAATTGAAAATAATTGATTTTTTAGAAGTATTTTATTAGAATTTTTGAAAATCAACTTTTGCTGAATTTTAATTGCAAATTTTGAAAATAATTGAATTCTCAAAAATTTTAATGAAAAAACCCCAAGTGTAAATTTATGAAAGTGAAAATTAATGAAAATTATCTTCTAAAAATTAGGTATAATATTAAAATATTTTTGAAAAAAGTAATTCTTAGAATTTTTTTATTCTAATTTTTTTAAAATCAAATATTTTTAATTTTTTCAATTACATATTTCCAAACAATCGAATACATGCAAAAAATAATAACATTCAAATTTTTAGAATTATTTTTAACATTTTGGAGGAAACAATCATGTTTAAAATTTTTCAAAAAAATTGGTTTTTTTAATTTATACAAAAATTCTTTTAAGAAATTCAATTATTTTCGAAAAATTACATTAGAATATTAAAAAAAGATTTCTTAAAATTGTTTTATTATGATTTTTTAAGTTTCAATTATCCTCGAACAAAGTAAATTAAAATTTTTAAACATTTACTTCTTTAGATGACTTTTTAAAAATTCGGGGAAATCATGTTCATATTTATAATTAAAATTCTTTAAAAATTTGATTCATTTTTTGTATAGGTATTATCTTTCAAAAATTATTTAAAAATATAGGTATTTATTTATTTAAAAAAATTTATTCAAATTTTGATTAATTGAATTTAGAAATCATTGAGAGGTCAGGAAATACAAAATAAAATTTTTGTGACAACAGTAAATTAAATAAACGATTTTTTGGACCTTTTTGTATTTTTAATCGACTAAAGCGACTTTTTTGCGCTTGTTAAGTCGATCCGAGGCCTGAAAATGGGACAACAATGGGTTTTCAACATAATAAACAAAAAGTGTTTAAAAGGTTGGTTTTTGTTTATTTTCCTGAAAAGCCATTGTTTTTGTCCTAAAAATTTACATAATTTATTGGAAAAAATCTCAACTTTACAATAAAAATGATAAAAATTAAAGAAGATGTAGTTTTTGTGTAAGATAAAAAGTAAGGTTTATTTTTTTTTTTTTTTAAAGGGGTTAAAATTTTTTTTAAAAAAAAGCAGTTTTTGAACCGAAAATTTGACAAGATATGCTTTAAAATTCACTTTAAAAAATTGAAATTTGTCAAGTTTTGTCGAAACTGCATTCTGTTAAATAAATCACTTTAAAAAATCTTTATTAACTATAGTATAAAATTAATAATTTTTTCAATAAAAATTTTAACAATACATTTAAACGTCCATTAAGTGTATAATTAATTATAATGAGTATTGATTATTTTCGCGCAATAATTAAATAATGTTAAGTGAATTACAATAATGTATTCATTATGTTAATTCACTTCTATGAAAGCTTTTTCTATCGAATACAAAATGTCCTTTTTGGTATTTTTTGTGGAAAAATTTTCTTCTCTGTTTCATCAAACATTTTAATCGATTTAATAAAATAACTAATTTTTATCGAATTTTTAAATCAAAAGATCAAACTTTTATCCAAATGAAAATTAAAAAATTTTCTTTTCAAGAGAAACATTTTTTCTAACAATTTTTTGTTTTGACAACATTTTTTATTGCATTCTTTATTGCATTATGAAAATTCAAATCCATGTTTTATTTTTTGAATCATTTTTTGCTTTTGGTTTTCTTTTATTTTGAACATGAATTTTCAGTTATTGAGTATATTTCCATTTTTGAAAATATATTTTTAAAAAACCAAGAAAAGAAGATAGTTTTAGAAAGAAAATATTAAAATTTGATTTTGTTTAAACTTATTACCTTAAAAATAAGTTGTTGTGCAATTAGATTTTTTCATTTGACTTTTTAACATTTCGATATCACTTCAGAAGAAAATAATTATTTACAAGTAGCGAACTAAATTTTATGTTTGTAGTTTTAAATAAAAGGTACTTGTGATAAATTACGGTAAACTTGATTTATTTGATTTATTTTGTTACATAAGAAAGAAAACATAATTTCCAAAATTAATAATTAAACGAATTTTTTCTGAATAAAATTCTATTTCCCCAAATTGAAAAAATAATTTACAATTCGCAGAAAGAGTTATCAAATCTTGATAGAATTTTTTAAACTTATTTTTTAATCTAAAAATGTCACAAAAGTTGAACATAAAAGAAATTTTAAATAAAATGTTAAAAATGAATGGTGAAAATTTAAAAAAAAAATTCCAAGTAAGGAAAATAGAATTTTATTCAGAAGAAATTAAATGAAACGTCAATTTTGGAAATGAAATTTATGCAACGCCTTTGGTAAAAAAGTGAAGAAAAAAAATATTTTCATAATTAGAAAAAGAGGATCGGTTTATAAAAAATAAGTTTCTTTTTTTGCAACAGTAATTTTATTCCTAGAAAACTTTTCTAAATTTATTTGCAATAGATTATATCGACGTTCAATGAATCGTGAAGGTAAAGTTTGTTGTCAAACAAGCAATACAAAATTTAGATTTTACCATTTACCTTCTCCGAATAAAGGAAGACTTAGATTACGTTGAGGAAAGTTTAATTAAAATTCGTAGTACCTTTATCATCGAAGGACTATAATTTACACTTTACAATGAATATTAAGTTGATAATTAAATATGTAATATTTAATGTCAAGTTTAAATTGAAAATAGTTTATAGTTTAGGGCAATATTTCCCCTTTTTATCCTGTAGAAAAATCTTTAATTAAAGTAATAAAAAAAATACTGGACTATCAATTAAATTATTTTCAGCAATTATCAAAAAGGAAGTTGTCAAAAAAAATTTTTTTTTCTTTCTAAAGGACATAAAATATTTTAAAAAAAAAAATTCTAACTCGGTCAGGCAGTGACATCAATTGACAATCACTTGAATCAACAAACCGAGGCAGACATTTTATTCTCTTTTGGCTCACTGTCGTTAGATTTCAATCATTTCAACTCTGGATAGTGCTTGAAACTTATAATCGAATAATCTTCTGAAAAATAATAATTTTACGGCTTATGCTTTTTCTCCATCGATTTACAATTAATCGATTAATTGCTTTAATAATTGATTTAATAAGTGACGTTTTATCATGGTCTATATACCGAGAGGTAGAGGTAGAGGTAGAAAGAAAAAAAACATCACTGAATCAAATTTTTATTTTAAAGGTACTAAATTATTTGTTACATTTATTTATATTTTTATTAATGTATTTTTTAATTTTCTAAGTTTTCTAAAAAAAATTTTAGTGACATTCAGAAATTGACGTGAATCAATTGCAGGAATGGGGACATTTTTTTATTTATAATATTGTGTTTGTTTTGGTGAAATTTTAGTATTTTTAAGTAAAATATTTCTTTGAAATTTGGTGAACTTTGTTTTTATTATATTAATATTTTTTGTTTAAATATAAACTTGTTTCAGCCTTTTTTTAATTAATTTTGTGAAAAATTATGATTCTGTGTAATTATTGAATTTGAAAAAAAGTCCTTAATTTAGAGTATTTTATGTTATTTAAAATGCAAATGAAATATCCTTTATTTATGAGAAACATTTTTGCTTACAGGTACCACATCTATTAATGTTACGTCAACTTCAAGTGGAACAGTAACATCTGTGATAACGACGGGTCCCGATGGCACTTCCCTGGACGAAGGTTCTCAACAATCTACGTTATCGAATGCATCGGCCGGTTAGTATTTACTAATATTTTTTTTATGGCATAAGATGTTAAGGATTGAAGACACAATTTTCATTTATTAATTAGTCAATATATTATTTATTTATTATTATTATTATTTATACTTTGTTTTATAAGTAATATTATTAATTTTGAACAATTTGATTATCAGGGTTGCCACAAATCAAGGAAATGTTAGGAAATTATATTAAAAGTACTGGAAAAATATTAAATTTCTAGAATTAGTACAAAAATTTTGGTTTTTGGTGTATGAAGATATTTTTCAAAAACTTAAAAACCTTTAAATCTCCTTGCATGTTTGCACCTTAAAAACTTTTAATTCGCAATAAATTTTAAAATAAAACCCTGATTTTTTTCTTATTATTGTAAATAATTAATTGTGATTAACTTAGAGAGAAAATTTTAGTTGAAAACTATTCTAATTTACAGAAATAATTAAATTTCAGAAGGTTTTAAACTAAAATTTTCAAAAAGTTCATTTGTGTTGAAGAAATCAATAAAAATTAAGTATTTTAATTGAAAAATAATTTAAAACTGAAATTATTTTATTTAAAATGCTGATTTTGAAGATGCAATTTTTAGAAATAATTGAATTTTAGACGGTTTTGAACTAAAATTTCAATCAGCTGTGAAGGCAGTAATGTTTTTATTATTAAAATTTTGTTTAAAGACTGAAGTCTTGAAAAATTTTATTGAAAATTCCGAAGAAATTGGATTTTAAAATATTTTAATTTTATTTTTACAGATAATTTATTTATTATAAAGAAGGAATTGAAAGTTTTTTAAATAATTGAAATTTTATAAAATTTTGATTCAATTCCTACAATTGCATTTTTATTGAATAATATGTAATTAAAAATTTGTGAAATAATTTAAATTTCCTAAAATTCTATCTATTCAATTACAAAAAAATTTATTTTCCATACAATTCTATAATTGTATTGTTTGTAAAAATAATCGAGGGAAGTTTGCCGTCGTAAAAAATTTTATTTTTAAAATATAGGTAGACATTCTTAAATTTTTTAATCAATTGTTTGCTTCTAGAAACTATCGTTTTTTTAAAATGCATTCTTCTTGAATTATTTTTAATGGGGATGAGGGAAAAATTAAAAATTCTGTCAGGGAAATGACAAGAAAAACAAAATAAAATTTTTGTGGTAACCCTGATTATGATTAATAATACAAAATCAAAATTATATTTTTAGTTTATTATATTTCGGAATATAATATGCTGTCATCTCTACATTTTTTCTACAATTTTAAATATTGACATCTATTTAATCCATTTTGCCATCTATTCACCTTTTTCATGTTTGTTAACTATTCAATTTTTTTAAGAAGTTTTTTTTAAAGTTTTTGGACTTAGATTAATTTATGGATCACAAAATTAGAGATTTTTGTCTTTATTAAAAAATGATTTATTTGATCCAGGCTTTAATTTATCAAAGTTTTTTCATCCAATCAAAATTTACTTCAAATTTCAGTCGATCTTCATTTCAATTTTTTGAAGTATTTATTGGTTAAATTTATATTCAAATTAAATCGATTCAAATTCTACTTTTTTAAATTTCTTTAAACTTTATTTTATTGCTAAAAACATAATTATTAATTAAACTTTTAAAATATTTTAAATTTCACTCATTCAAAATTTTAAATTATCTAAATTTCAATCTATTTAATTATTTCAATCAAAAGAAAATTCTGTTGATCGAAACTTGGAAATATTTATCGAAATTTCAAATCAATCAATTTCAATCAATTTCAAATTTTCAAATCTATTTAAAGATTAATCAATTCAAATCCCAATCTATTAAATTTCGTTTGTTCAAATTTTATTTACTTTACTGGAACTTTACTGGAACAAATTCAACAATCACTAGGACTTAATTCTAAACGATTCAAATTTTCAACTATATATATTTAAGCTTTATTCGTTAATTTAAAGAAATTTTTTAATTTAATAAATTTTAATTTTAATAAACACAAATTTGTTATTTTTGTCCATTCATTTTTATTTGATTGACAGCATATTTTCGGTACTTTTTATTTTTGGTGTAACTTTTTTCATCGTATAATTTTTTATTTTTCGAATATTTTTTGAGGTCTATTCAATTTTTTTGAAGTCTACAATATTTTGAATTGTTGAAATTCTTTGCTTGGTAAATTAAAAAAATTGGTTATTAAAAATGTTGTTTTTTGTACTTTAAACAGCATCCGGAGAAGATCCAGCTTTTACACCAAAGGTTCGAAAAGAGTTACTGGGAGCTTATCACAGTCATTCAACAACTCCACAAAGCACAGTTCCATCTCCTGGTGCTGCTAGCATTAATTCAATCCACGAGGAATATCCAGACATGAATAGTCCAGGCTGGCCGCGCACACCTGCAAGTCCTGTACGTAATTTATCATTCTATTCTTTCACAATTTTCAATTCTTACTGAACGTTTTACGTTGTAACTGTTTGTCTTTTCTTTTTATTCAAAAATATTTCTATGTAGTAGAGACTTTATAATTTGAATTTTTTTTGTCTTTTACAGGTATTTAACAGTCATGTGCCTCAAGACCCTTACAGATCTAAGGTTAAAATTCTTTTTATGTATTACAATTGTGCTAATTTATAGTTTTAAGTATGTAACATGCTTTTCTAGTTTTAGGTTCTTTTACCCGTTAATTTGATTTAATCTACAAGAAAATTACGAGTTTTCAGGTTGATTTTATTACGTTGGTGAATGTGACGACTTTTATAATCAACGATTTAAAGGAAAAAATTTTTCTATTCAAATTTTTGGTTAAAAACTTTTTCTAACAATAATATTCTTCATCGACAATTCAAAAAAGAAAAATTTGGAGACAAAAAATATTGTTTTTTGGGTAAAAAATATTTTTTTCTTTTAATCATTGGAATATAAAAATTGTGAACTTCGTCAAAGTATTTTATCAATAAGTGTGAATTCACTAAGTTAGAGAATCAAAAAATAGATTAAAAAATTAAGTGTATGAAAAATGTTCATCTCTACGTTCAATATTTAATTAATTTTTAAGAAATTTAACTAAAGTAATTTAAAGAAGAATCGGAAGTAAAACTAGTATAACTCTATACTTTCGTAAATTTTTTAAATAAAAGAACTATTTAAGTTTGAATTTGTTGGAGAGAAAGAGATTTAATTTTTAGCATTTTGAACAATAACAGGGATCACAGTTTGTCACCTATTCACTTTTTTTTATCTATTTAAAATTTTGACACCTATTTCACTTATTTTGATAATTTCTTACCTTTTTCACATTTTTCATGATTCGATTAATTTTTATATGTACACCTAGCAGCGGCAATTGTGCGACCCCAATTTTTTTTATGACTATTAAATAACTTTTAACTTGAAAAATATAGTAACTAACATTTTTTTCTTTTTATTTTCAATAAACTAATAAAATTCTGAAAAAAATGACATCTTAACGACAAAAAATTTTAATTTTTCAATCAGATCTTTAACAAAAACCCCATTTTCAGTGATTTGCCTAATTTCTTTATATCTTCCGAAGAAATTAATGTTTTTTAACGTTCATAGGCTCATTTGAATCGTATTTTTTTATAGAATTAAAAATTTTTTATATTACAATTTATTTACGTTTTCTTTAAAAAATGCAAGTCACGAAAGTTGAATCACAAAATTATAAACATTTTTCAGGTACTTTTACAACTGAGAAATAATTTTCAAAACTCAAATATATGCTGAATACAAAACTATATTCGAAGTTTAAACATTTTTTTGAAATAACGCATTTTACTAATTCCTTTTTAGAATTTTAATAGTAATCAGCATTTTTCGAATTTTTTTGATACATTTGAATTTACAATGTGAAACACATAAAAAGCTCAGGATTCGTGAAAAAAATCCATTAGCTTAAAGATAAATTTATTTTAACATTCCTGAGATTAAATTAACTTAAACAATTCATTTAGTAACAGAATTTTGAATTTAATTCATCAAAAAATAAATTATCTAAAATTCAACATATTTTAATTTTAAGCTGGCGGAAATGAAATGAAATTTTATATTAAAATTATCAGAATTTCTATCTGTCTAAAAATTAATCGATTCAACTGTCATATTGTCCAAATTTCAATTTATTTAAGCTTTAATTTTATTGATAAAAAAATTTTATTTTCACTTTTTTCCAATAATTCACCTTTTTTTGACTATTTCTTCTGTGTTCCCAGTTATATTAAAAGTTGCATTTGAATATAAATTACAATTCGCTGTCAATAAGTAAAATTTATAAAATTTGTCGCCTACTTCGTTTCCAAATGACAGAAATTCAAAGTGTGACACAGATCAGGGAAATCAGAGAATGCAGGGAAAAGTTAGAGAATTTATCAAAAGTACTGGAAAAAGTATTGAATTTCTAGAATTGATAAAAAAAATTCTAGTTCTTGGGGTCCAGCGACTTTTGAATAAATTAAGAACATTTAATTCTTTTTGAATTTATTTTGTTCACCTTATAAACTCTAAAGTCACCACGTATTTTAATACAAATCCTTTAATTGTTTCTATTTTTCATAAGAATTGAACTTTAAACAATATGAAATTTGATTTATTTTAAATAACTTAATTCTTAAAGAACTTTCATAAAATTATTATTTGTAAATTATTTAGCGAAATCATTGTACTTGAAAATTTTTAAAATAATTGAATTTTGGAAGAGATGCGTTCGCAGGTTTTGTTGAAATAATTTAATTTCAGAAGGCTTAAAATTTGAAATTTTTGCAAATCTTAATTCCAATGGAAGAATGATAACAATGATTAAATATTTATTTTAAAAAAATTATTGATGTTTCGAATAATTTTACAATTGAATATATTAATTATTCTAGAGTGCTAATTATTCTTAAAGTGAATCAGAATATTCTTTAGGGTCAGGGAAAAAGTTGAAATTCTGTCTGAAAATCACGGAAAAACAAAAACAAATTTTTGTGACAACCCTGATGTTGTAATTTTTACTCAAATGCAATATTTAAATGTTTAAAACGGAAATTTACCCTCTTCCAAAAAGTATATTAAAGTTGACGCTCCTTTTTTTTAAAAATAGAAAAGTAGAATTGGAATAACTTTCGTTTCGAAAATGCGCTCTTTTAAACTTGAAAGATATTTTGATTAATTAAGGTAAAAATGAAAAGAAAACTAGAAAGCAAATGAATTTTAATTGTTAATGGATTTTTCAGAAACCTGATAGTTTAGCAAAACTGTACGAAATGGACGATTCGATAGAGCGAAGATCATGGCTGGATAAATTGGTGACATTTATGGAAGAGAAACGAACACCAATCACCAGTTGTCCCACAATCTCCAAGAACCCCCTCGATTTGTTTCGATTATACCTCTACGTGAAGGAAAGGGGGGGCTTCATGGAGGTATGCAAGGTGCAGTGTAGTTCCATCTAGCCCTCGGTGTCTTATCGTTTTTTATTTGTCTATGTATTGGTTTTTTTACATCTTATACTTCACGCATTTTCAGAGGTTAATCGTGAGCTTTTACCATTTCATTTTATTTTTTTTTTTTACCTTTTGATCTAGTTTCGTGAAACCACAATTTTCACTTCACGTATATCATCTCTATTAATGTCTTTTTTACTGTTTCAGTTAAATTAATATTTTCTTTACTGAAAATAGATTTGTTCATTTAATCATTTATTTTAGTTGTTTAATTTTATTCTTTATTTCAGGCTCTAAGCTGCAGGCCTCGGATAAAATGACTTTTTCAACCATTTTTTAAAAAAATGCGCCTTTCTTCGACTTATTTTAATAAAAGGCGACTTTTTCGACTATTTTTCAAAAATATTTTTCTGTAAAGTCTTACTTTTCTTTGCAAGTCTTAGCGCATAAAACAGGCTTCTTTACTCACTGTAAAGAAATAATTGTCAAATTACAACAATTGGTATTAAATTAGAACAAATTTTGGGTACTAAAGCTTTATTCGTTTTATTTCGATATTTAAAAAAGGCGTTAATTCGAGACCCTTTGTTCTAATTTGACGAATTTATTTACAGTGCTAAAAAGTGAAATTATTATTCCAGGGGGTCCAGCGGTCAGGAAAAAGTTCAGGAAATGTCAGGGAATTTTTTTGAAAGTCAAGGAAAATTTCTTTAAAATTATACAAGTATTAAAATTTTTTATGAAAATGAAAATTTTTAAATTTAACATTTGCTTTAAATTATTTTTTGTCACTTTCATTAGATAGTAATTTATTGTAAAAAATAGTAGTAACCATATTTTTGTCCCAAGAAAGCAAAAAAATAAGATTAGCAAAACGTCTGGGAAAAATCAAGAAAAATCAGGGAATTTTTTCTTAATCCTTGCTGAACACATTCATTAAAAGAAATTTAAAAAATTCAGACTTAAATATTTTTTAAAATTTATTTTTGAGTCGGTCTTATTTTTACACTTTTATAAGTTTTGACAATAAAAGATTTGCCGCAAGTCAAGAAAATCAAAGAAATTAGATCATTTTTGCTAAAGTTGTCAAAAATATCATATTTTTAGAAATTATACAAAAATTCTAGTTTTCGGTGTTCTTTGAGAATTCTGAGAACTTTAAATTGTACCTGAATTTTCTTTATCATCTTAGAAACTCAAAAAAAAATATAAACAGTTTCAGTTCACAATTTTCATTAAAAAATTGAATTTTTGCATTTAAATAACTGAATGCTCAAATAAGTTTCTAAAAATTATTAAAAATACTAAATTTAGAGGAGAATTTTTCTTAAAAATTTCAGAAAATAATTGAGTATTGGAATAGATGGTACAAATGTTTAAAAATTTAATTAAGTTTCAAAAGGTTTCAAATCAAAATTTTTGAAAATTTTAATTAGAAATTCTAAAAGAGTTACTTCTAAAAACTATAGTTGAAATTTTTTTAAAATGAGTTAAATTTTGGAATATCTATTATTCAATTAAAAAAATTCCGAATAATCAAAGTTTTTAATATTGAATTGAAAAGAATTAAATTTTAGACGAATTTTAAGTGAACTTTCTTATTTTTAAAACAATTAAACTCTTGAAGAACTTTCTGAAAATTAAGAAAAATAATTGATTTAGAAAAGAATTGTAGTTAAAAATTTTTGCAAAATAATTGAATTTTCAAGTTACAGTTTTTTGAAATATTTTACTTTAAATTTTTTTGAAAATAGTTGAATGTTCGAATATAAATTTAATTAAAAAATGTTCAAATAATCAAAATTTCGTAAATATGTGATGAAAACAATTGAATTGTAGTCTAATTTTAAGGGAAACTCCTTTTTTGTAAATAATTAAACTCTCGAAGAACTTTCTGACAATTATTAAAAATAATTGATTTAGAAAGAAAAATTTGGTCAAAAGTTCTGTAATATAATTGAATTTTAAAATTATGGTTTTTTGAAAAATTCTACTGTCAATTTATTTTTTAAACTGTTAAATGTTTGAATATAAATTTAATTAAAAAACTTTCGAATAATTGAAGTTCATAATATTAAATTGAAAAGAATTGAATTTTAGACCAATTTCAAGGGAAACTCTTTTTGTAAATAATTAAATTTCAAAAGGTTTCAAATTACAAATTTTTTGAAAATTTCGATTAATGTTTAATAATAAGTACTAGTAATATTTAAATACTTATTTTACAAAATTATTAAACTTTTGAATAAAAGTTATAAAAATTTTAGAAAATAATTGAATTTGAGAAGAATTACAGATTTAAATTTTAGAAATAATTAAGTTTTTATTATTGAAAAAATAAATTTTAGGTTTTTACATATTTTGTTACAGTGTTAAAAAATAATCGTGTTTGTTTATGAAAATGTTTAAGAACATATCAAAAATATAAAAATAAAAATAACAGAATATAAAATATAGAAAAATATGAAACTTAGAATTAAAGTTATTTGTTTAAGAAAAAAGTTGAATATGTATTTTAAGTTGATTTCTAGAAATGAGGGAAAAGTCAGGAAAATAGAAAATTGAATTTTTGTGCCATCTCTGAAAAAATGCCATTTTCGCCTTTTTTCATACTTTGAACCGACTATAACGACTTTTTTTGCGCCTTCGAATCGATCCGAGGCCTGTAAGCTTTTTGAATTTCAAAGCTTTGTGTATTGACTTTTTTCCTTTTCAGATATATATTTTTTTTAAATCATCTTTAAATATTTAAATATTTAGATTTAAGTATTTAAGTGTTTAGAGTTTTCTCAGTTTTTTGGTTTTTATTTAGTTGGTAATTTGTTTTTATTATTATTGAATAGATGTTAATTTTGTTTTGTCAATGTAATTGACAGTGTTTTTTATTAGTAGTTGATTATTTATTTTTAGTGGATATTTAAGTTTCACAATCTAGACTGTATTATAAAAAGAAAAAAAAATGTTCACGATGCCTCTTGTTACACGCTGATCAGTGTTATTTATTTTTGTGCACGATTGTGCATGATTAGTATTTTGATGTCAATCAAGTGTTTTATTTTTTTTTCCTTTTGTGATGTCCGTGTTTAAATCGCATAATCATCATTTCTCTATAAGTAGTCGCTCGTCATAATTTTTGGAAAAGAAAATTGCTCTCTAGGAACCCTGGTGCTATATGGAATTATTCTAATTTTGAGAGGAGAGAAAAAAAAGAGTAATAATATCATTACAATACTGGTAATTTAGATGTACTTATTTCACATAAAAATTTTTCTAATTTTTTTTTTCAAACTTGCATGCTTCGTAATGTTTTTTATATTCTATTTACATAAATATTTTTTTGGGTATTTTTCTTTTTTTCCTTATTCTCGCACAATTTATTTTCGTAGTTTTGTCCGTTTTTGTTTTTAATTATTATCTTATTTCGTAGTTTTGGGTTTATTGTTTTTTTTAAATTGTTTTTTTTTGGGTAGTGTTGTTTTTTGTTACTTATGTGTTTGTTTTTGTTCATTTTGTTTTTTATCATTTTTTTCCAATCATCTTGGCATATTTTTGTACTTTTTTAATTCGAAAGGCTTTTTTCTTTTTGTGTTTTGTGTGTGAAAAAAGTTTACATCTTTTCACAGTTTGTCTTTTTTATGGAAATAAAAAAAAAATGAAAGAAAGAAATGTTTGGAATAGAATTGTAGAATCGAGGTTTTTGAATTTTTCATTCACAGGTGACAAAGAACAAAACATGGAAGGACATTGCTGGACTGCTTGGAATTGGTGCGAGTAGCAGTGCCGCGTACACGTTGCGTAAACATTACACGAAGCATTTGCTGCCGTTCGAGTGTCACTTCGATCGGGGAGGCGTCGATCCACAGCCGATTATTAATCAGGTGGAGGCGGGTTCCAAGAAAAAAGGATCCAAAGGTACAGCATCCGTACCCTCGCCAGGTAGGTCAACGCAGACTTCGAGGCTGAAAGTTTATCGATAAAAAGAATTTTCGGCAACAAGTCGAGCGGTGACACTGGACAATTGTATTAAATGTAACTTTGTTTCCCTCGCTAGGTTCGTCAAACTCGCAGGACTCGTTTCCTGCCGCTGGCTCGAGTAGCACGTCCATGGATGGGTATGGAAGCTACCAAGGTAGCTATCCGGGCGGCGCTCCAGTCGGACCTGGAGGAGATTACACACCGCCACCTCCGAGACCTCCTAGCCAAAGTAGCGCACCTACACCTCATCAAGGTAAATCAAAACTCCTTTCTTATTCACTGTCAGGTCGCAGATAAAATTACTTTTTCAGGGTTATCAAATCGAACAATTCTCGATAAAGTCGAGCATATTGTCAAAATAACAATTAAAGTAATTACATTTTATAGTTTCATCTCACTATTTGCTTGACGTGCATAATTAATTAAAATCTTGGGAAATCAAAATTGCAAATACTTAAATTTGTTAAAGAAATTCTTTAGAAATTTAAAACAAGTACTAATTTTCAAAGAAATTTAATTTATAATTACATAATTAATTAATTTAATTTAATTTATAATAATTATATAATAATAATCGAGATAATCTGTCCTCACATAAATATAGTGTTTTTTGATTCCAAATTGTTTTTTAGTTCTAATTGTTATATCAAAAGTATGACAGTTAATTAATTTGTAAATAATAAAGTAAGTGAAATAAGAAAATTTAACCCAAATTTCAAAAACGCAATAAAGACGTACAGTTGCAATTTATGATTTTGAAAATAATTAAGTATTTTTTATGAATTATTTATTTTTTGTGGTTAGGTGGTTATTTTTTCTAAAAAAATATTTTCTAATCCTTTTTTATCTAAAAAAAAGCGATTTCTACTGAAATCTGTTATTTCTAAAAAAAATTTATGATTTTTAATATTTATTTTCCTAAAATTTGTAAAATTCTATAATTTTGATACAAGTTAGAAAATTGTTAAAAAAAATTAAGATTAAGAAGCAAAAACTATTTTGCGTATTTTCTATTTCTCAATTATAATTCTGTTTGCAAAATTGTAACTTTCTTTTTGAAAAAGATAAAAAAATTTTATAAAATTCATATTTCTTATCACAATTTTTTAACAAAATTCTGTTCTTTGAAGAAAAAGAAACAATAATTTGCATCATTTTTATACCAAAATTAATATATTTATAAAACATTTTTTTTTAGAAAATTTTTAATACTTTTAGGGAAAATTCCCTATAATTCCTATTTGTTAATGACGATTTTTAAGAAGATTATTTTAAAATTTTGTTGAAAAATTTGCATAATTTCTATTTTTTTATTATAATTTTTTTAACTAAATCTGAAGTTACTTTTTAGAATTAAAAAATTTTCATAACTTTTATTTTTTAATCCTACCTATTCATCGTCATTACAAAAATTGAATATTGTTAGAAAATAAATTTTTGAAAATTACCTTTATTAGAATAAGAAATTTCTAGAAAATGACCTTTATTAAGAGAAAGAAAATTAGAAAATCACCGTCATTAAAAACAAGTTTTTTAGAAATTCACCTTTATTAGAAATCGAATTTTTAGAAAATAAAAAATTAGAAAATATGTTTTAGATTTAGTATAAAAATATTAAAATTTTTTTTTTTTAATTATTAATTACATCATTTTCCTTTAAAATTTCTTAAAGTTTTGAATAATTTTAATCCAAAATTCTAAAAAAAAATAATTGAAGTTTGAAAGAATTACAGTTGCAATTTTTAGAAATAATTAAATTTCAATTTTAATTCCTGTGAAAAAGTAAATAAAAATAAGTTTTTAAATTTTTGTTTAACAAAAAGTATTGAAGTTTAGAATCCTAATTTAATTTAGAAATTCCGATAAAGTTTGTTGCTTAGAAAAATGTAATTAAAATTTTCTAAAAATAATTGTATTTCCGAAAATGATTTAAAAAATTGAAACAATTGAAAATTTTGTCAGATTTCATTGAAATTATTTTAATGAATTTTATTTGTTTACTTTTAAAAATTATTTTGAAATATAATCGTATTTTTGAAAAATTCTAAGTGAAAATTTGTTAAATAATTGAATATTCTCCTTTTTTTTTTAATTTAAAGAAAAACTTTTAGAAAAATTATATTTTTTAAAAAATAAAAAATTTTCATTGAATTTCAAAAAGAAAATCTTTTCAAGTAACAACGGGAAAGAAAATTTCATGTGTAGTTAGACTAGTTAGTAAATAATTAAATTTTATAAAGATTCAGAATCGAATGTATTCAAATTTGTCTGTTAGTGTAAAAAGCAGTATTAAAGGATTATGAAAAAAATTAAAATTCTCATTGAATTTTAAGGAAAATTCAGGAGAAACCAATTTAAAATTCTGTGACACACTCTTCTTTTTCGATTTATTTTAATAGAATTCAAATTGAATATCATTTATTAAAACAAATTTAAAAAATTTATAGGTTTCAATGTTTTTCTAAATTTATTTTCGAGTTGAACTTCGTTTTACATTTTCATGAATTTTAACAATAACAAGGTTGTGACAGGTCAAGAAAATAAGGGAAGTCAGTGAAATTTATTTTTAAAGTTGTGAAAAATATAAATTTCTGGAAATGTTACAAAAGTTCTAGTTTTTGGTGACCTTCGAAAATATTAAAAACTTTAAATTGTCATGAAATTTTCTCTTTCACTTTAAAAACTCTATAAGGCAACAACATTTTTGTTAAAAATTATTGACAATTTTTATTAAAAAAAAAAATTATAGTTAAAAATTATTGAAAATAATTGAAAACTGAAAGAGTTATAGAAGAAATTGAATTGCATTTGAAAATGCAATTTTTGAATATATATATTTCATTGAAAAATTTTCGAAAACATATGTAAGTCAAGATAATGTCAAACTATTTGATTGGTATCTGGAAATTAAGATAAGAAAAAAAATTTTTATAGGAGACTCAAATTACTAAAAACTAAAGAAAAACTAATGATATTCCAAATCAAATACTCTGAATTTAAACCCTTCTACTTATCAGAAAATGTTCTAAATAGTCTTATTCTGTTTCTAATTAAGTCTTCTGTAAAATTATGAAATAAAAGGAAAATTCATGTTTTATCCATTTTTTAATTGATTTAGAAAAGAATTTTAGTTAAAAATTCTAGAGAGTTTTTTTGAAATAATCGCGTTTTTTAAGAAAAAAAAATGAAAATAATTGAATTTTTCAAGAACAGAATTAGGGTTATTATCGGGAAAAGAAAAAAAGGTTTAAAATTTGTCTGGATGTTAGGGAAAGAAATATAAATATAAAAAAAATAATTTAATTACTTTGGGTCTTTTTTTAAAATTTAATTTCAATTTCAAAATTTTCGTGATTAATTTTGAATTAAAAGAAAAATGTGTTAATTTGAATGATTTTTTTTCTGTTTTTAGGAATGCAGCAAAGTAATTACCAAAATACTGGCTCCTTTCAAAATTATCCTCAAGAACAATACATTCGACCACAGGGTAGTGGAATGTCGCAGCAGGGAGAGTTCAATCAACCGTACACACCTCGGACGCATTATCCGCCTTACGTACCCGATTCTGAAAGGTTGGTTGGACTCCTTTTCTTTTTTCTTCAATTTACTAATGACTAGTCCACAAAACAGATTAGATTAGATTTCATGAAACTGTTTATCTACAAATTACGCTATTAAGTCGGAGGTAATGCCTCCAACACTTGCCGTAAACTTCTATTCATTGTATAGAGACAGTTCAGTATTTTCTCGTTACTTAGAAATTTCTCAATTCTTTTATTTTTCCAAACATACAGACATCGCACGTTTTTTCTCAATTTTTATTTCTTTTAATTTCGTCCCTACTTTGTCATTTCTTGAGTTTTAAATACAATTTCAAATTTCTTATTTACAATTTATTTTTAACTTTTTTTTTGTATTGAATTAAATTAAATAATTTGAAAGACAAATGTCTTTTTTAAATTTAGAATTTAGATCTTTAAGGTCACGTGTCCTATTTACTTTACCATTGTAAACACGTGACTACTGACTAATTGTTTAATTTCGAATTATTGATTCTACAATTTTAAAATTGTAGAATTTGATTTATTTATTTTCAATAATTTTCTTTGGTATGTTAAGAATTAGAAAATAAGAATTGTGATGACTGTATGTATGGGGATAGAATGAAAAAAAGGTGGACTAGTAAATTAGTTTAGAATAAATATGAATCTCTTGAGTGAAATGATAATAACTTGAAGCATTACAAAAAACGTAAGGTTTGTTCCAAATAGGGGATACTCTGGGGGTAACATGCCGCCGAACAGTGCCGGAAGTCAAGACATGTACAATAGGTATGCTGGCAATCAACAGCCGAGTAGTTATCCAACTGGAACTCCACCCGGTGCTCGCACCAACAATTACCCAGCGACGCCTCAGGGTCATCCGCCGAATGCACAACAACCGCCACCCTCGTGTCAACCATCTTCTTCTTCTTCGGCACAATCATCCGCTTCGTCGACATATTCCTGTCCTCAAGATTACTACAGACAAGAACAGGTGGGTTTCTTTTCCTAATCAAGTAGATTTTTGAAAACTTAATTTTAGTTTGAGAATAAAGTTTAAATAATTTAATTTCTCGCTTGTCTTTCAGAGTGGATATGGAGCTCCAGGTGGAAGTCAAATTTACCCCCCGGCAACAGCAGCTAATAAAAATATGCCGCCACCTCCACCAGGTCCTCAGCAACCAAGGCGACATCCAGACTTTGCCAAAGACCAGCAGTATCCTCAGTATAATCAGCAACGGCCGACCTATCCAGGTAGATTATTTTTTGCTACTGATATCTTTTTTTGATCCTTTTAAGTTAAGACACTTTACAATTGGTATTTTTGTCAGTTAAAAAAAAGTATTGCTAAATCAATTTAAATCATGTGATTTAGTTTAGTTCTTTTTTTTATTAAGTAAATTAAAATTTTTATTGTTAATGAAAGTAAAAGTAAAAAAAGAAAAGTAAAAATAAGTTTTTAAAGTAAAACGAAAATTCCAGTTTACTTTTATGATACAAATAGGCTTCGCACTCTTCTACTAAAACCTACTATTTACTACTTATTTACGATTTAATACTATTAGGATACTTTTTTATATTAGTGACACTAAACGCTACTTTTTTTATTTTGTTTTGAATTTACACTACTTTGAATCCGATAATAATTGAAATAAAGAAATTATTCTCAAAAATTTTACTGAACTTTGTAGAAACACTTCAACAAATTTTAATAAAATTCTTTAAAACAATACAATTATTTTGAAAAATGGTAAGAAAATTTTTCGTAAGAATTCAATTTTTTTTACAAATAATTAAATTCTTCGCTAAAGTTCAATTATTTTAGGAATCACAGTTAGCCCCCTTTTTTATCCCCTTAAATTAATAAAATCCAATAAAACACCTAAAATCATACATTTTCTCCCCTTTTCCCCTTATTTTTAAGAAAAACTTATAAAAATTGTCATTTTTTGTAAGTTAGGAAAATTGTTAGTAATGCTTAAAGAAATAAATTTTACTTTTCGCAAACTTTGGAAAAGTTTTATTTTTTTGAAACTTAAAAATCTTTCTAAATTATTTCTCAGAGTACTTTAAATTTAGAAATTTTTTCACAAAATGTAACAAATATGAAATAACTTTTGCTTCTAAGAAAAATCCAAATTGTTTGGAATTTTTTACAAATTGTATTATTTCCAGAATAAATTTCACTAAATTCAAAGTATATTTTATTAATTTTCAATAAAATTTACGACGGATGTTATAAAATTTTAATGATTTTTAATAAAAAAAATTTTCTATTTTCAATGTTAATTTTCTTATTTAAAAACTATTCAAATATTTATCGAACATTACAATTAACTATTAAAAACTATTTTTAAGTAAATTTTAGGTAGATACTATTTTTAAAGTAAATTTTTCTAATTTTTATCAAAAAAATTGTCTTTGAAAATACTAAAAGTTTCTCTGGAAATAACTATTTTTAATATTAAATTTTACTATTTTTGAAAGAAATTTTTCCAAGCCCCAAGTTAATTTTACTAATTTTTTTTCTGAAATTTACGTCGTATTTATATTAAAATTAATGTAATTTTAAAACAAGTAGGATGGTAATAAAAATTTCGATTAAACATTTAAAGAAAGTTACAGAGTATGGAAAAAGATAAAAAATATCAATATTTAACAGAAAAAGTTTAACAAAAAAAATAATTTGATTTTAAAAAGCTGCAATTAAAAGAAAAAGTAAAAAAAAAATTTTAATAAATTTCATGCGTTATCCTAATTTAATAATTTTTACTTCTTTTGGAAATTCACCCTTTTTTAAACTGAAAAATTTGAATTTTTGAAAAATAAAATCCTCCTTTTTTACCGAATATTACATGGAAAAATCACTGTAATCCCTATTATTTTCAGTATCTACTATTTTAATAAAATTTCACCAAAGAATTCAATTATTTAAAAACAATTTTAATAAAATTCTTTGCAAAAATTCTAATTATTTTCATTAATAATAAAATTTTTCTAGAAATTCAATTATTTGAAATGCAATTTTCATAAAATTGTTTGAAAGAAATTAATTATTTTAAAAAAATGTTGTATAATTCTTCGAAAGAAATCAATTATTTTTAATAAATATGATAAAATTTGTTTACAAGAATTAATTTTATTTTCTTGATACAATTGAAATTATTTTCCTTCAAAGAATTTAATTATTTAAAAAATTTTTAATAACAAATTTTTCAAAAACAAATTCAATTCCTGATTATTTTTAAAAAATTTAATAAAATGGTTTGCAATCATTTAATTATTTTCACAGAAAGTAAATGTTTCACAGGAATTAGATTATTTAAAAAAAATTCAATGTCGTTGCAAGAATTCAATTATTTTCCTGTTTTCAGAAATAATAAAATTCTTCGCAGAATTTTTATTATTTTTATACGTATACAACTTTAAATAGATTTCTCGAAAAACAAAATTATTTTAAAAAAATTTATTAGAACTCGTTGAAATTCAATTATTTTTTAAAATTTTGATAAAATACTTTATAACAATTCAGTGTTAAGAAATAATCAATTATTTAATCAATTTTTTATTTTTGTATTTAAATAATTGAATTCTCGTAGGATTTTCTAACAAAATTTTGTCAAATTTAATTGAAATACGTTTTATATTGTAAAGAATTTTATTTTTTTACTTTTAAAAATTATTTTTAAACATTATCTTATTTTTGAAGAATTCTAACTAAAAATTTGGAAAATAATTGAAGTTTAAAAAACTTTAGAATTGAAGATAAGATAAGGAAAAAATAAATATTTTTGATGGAAATTAGGAAAAAGTCAGGGAAATACTGAATCAAATTTTTGTGAATCGACTAAAACTAGTTTCTTTAGTCATCAAAGTTAATATTTTCGACAGCCACTTAACACTTTTTACTAGTTTTTCTTTATTATTAAAGCAACTTTTTGAAAAGAAACAGGGTGGCCGCAAGTCAGGGAAAAACTGGAAAACAGGGAAAAATCAGAGAATTTTGAAAATGAAATTTTGCGGACACTCTGAGTAATTATCGAGTGCGAAGTCTGTATAAGTTTGACAAAAATCGATGGGAGTTACGAAAAAAAACACAATCAAGTTTTGTGATGAAAAAAACTGAAGAAAATATAACCGAACATACAGTTTTCATTTTAAGTTTCCTGTACAAATAAAAGAGTTTTATCGAATTTTCTCTTTCGTGTTAATAAAACTAATGAAATTAGTTTTTAAAATGAGAAGTTTGTTTTTTCATTTAAAAATCAGGAGTGTTAGCCATTGAAATAATGATTGAGTGAGAAATTAAATTAATAATTCTAAGTAGAGAAAGAATAGAGCGGTTTATTAATTGTTTTGTTGTTTTGAATGAACAGGATGGCCAGGCGCGACAAATCAGTATAACAGTGGCACTGCAGGAGCTAGAGTTCAGTATCCTAGTCAGCAACCTCAACCGCAGTCACAACAACCACAACCACCACCGCCACAACCTCCGGTTGCTGCTGGTGCTCCTGCACCCTCTGTCGTTGCAGGCATTCCTAGCTCTCAGCAATGGGTCGGCCAACAGTCAACCAGGCCCACGGCCCAACCTAGTATCCCCATCTCTCACCCGCCGACACTTTGGGAACGTCACTATTCCAGTCAGCCGTCAACTTTGTATCCACCTCCGGGCTCACATCAGGTAACATTCATTCAATCTTCAATATAAATTCTTTATTTCAATTACTAACAATTGCAAACAATTGCAAAATTACAGGGTCAACTTGGCATAAATCCTATGCTCAATCAACAGCCAGCACCGAAAAGAGAAATTGCATTCCCATCTGACAGCGTTGAAGCGGTCACACCATTATTGTACAAACGACGAAAATTAACGCGCACAGACGTTGCGCCAGTGGAGGCCTGGCGAGTTATGATGGCGTTACGGTCAGGACTTCTCGCTGAGAGCTGTTGGGCACTGGATGTTTTGAACATTCTTTTATTCGACGACTCTTCGGTAGGTGTTCGTTTTTGTAACTTACTCGACATTTTGTTTATTTTACGATTCAAATTTTGAATTTTTTTTGCTTTTCTAACTTTATTTTTCTAATCTTTAATTATTGAGTTCAATCAGGGCTGCTACGGTCCTGGAAAAGCTAGAATTTTCTTAGCCAGGAAAAACCTGTGAAAATCGAAGATTTTTCTGAAATGTTTTTAAAAATTACTTCCTAAACTTGAATTATGCATATTTCGAATTCTCAATATTAAAATTCTTGATATTTATTTCTGATTTTTAAAAGTTCTCTGGAAATCACGAAAATCATAGAAAGGACCTGGAACTTTTAAAAGTTTATACATTTTTCAAGATATCCTTTTTTTTCCTTTGATAATTTCCTCATTTTTCAAACTCACATTTTTGTGAAATTTTAAAACTTTTTAATGCTGTTTTTTAAAGTTTGTGCCAAAAAGCAAAACCTATTTTTCGACTCAAGTACGCGAGGTACTACTGCGTTATAAATTTGAAATTGATTTAAATGTCGTGGAAATTATTCTCAAAATTTCACTGGAATTTTATGAAAAATGACTTGGAAAAAAGCTGGAAAAAGAATGGAATTTTAAACTAGGCTTTTTGTAGGAAACCTTGCAAATTCTTCTTCGAATGTATTGCAATTTGCTATTAAAAATTTTTATTTTCAAAGTAAATTTTATTACTTCTGAAGAACATTTTTTTTTAATTTTCATAGAGAAGTTTCCTTTTTAACTATTAAAGGTTATTATGAAAGTAAGAATTTTTAGTAGCAAATTTTACAACTTTTGGAGAAAATTTTACTAATTTTTACAGAAATTTACTTTGGATATTCTTTGCAAAATTTCAATTATTTTCAAAAAAATTTTCCTCAATTCACTGATTTTCAATATCTACTATTTTAATAAAATTTTTCAAAAGAATTCAATTATTTAAAAAAAATGTTGATAAAAATTCTAAGCAAACATTAAATTATTTTCATAAATAATTAAATTTTTTTCAAAAATTCAATTATTTTCATGAATAATAAAACTCATCATAGAATTTTAATTATTTTTAATACAATTTTAATTGAATTTCTCGAAAAATTTAATTATTCTTGAAAATTTCATTTAAATTCCTCAAAAAAATTTAATTTTGTTGATAAAATTCTTTATGCAGATTCAATTTCGAGAAACATTCATTTATTCAATAAATGATTTATTTTTGTATTTAAATAACTGAATTCTCGTAGAATTTTCCAATAAAAATGGATTTAAAAATGAATATCAGTTAAAATTTTAGATAATTGAATATTAAAAGCATTATGGCATGAATTTTTAAAAATAATTGATAACTAAATTCTTTCGAAGTGTTTTAATAACATTTTTAAAAATAATTACATTTTTCGAAGAATTTACTTAAAATTATATATATAATAATCGTCGTGATTCCAGATTTCCGGATCTCTGTCCACACTTGAAGTTAGTTATAGTTATTCTTTTGTTTTTTATACGTTTTAATAGAAAATAGAAATATACATATACATATACATACATTATAATAATCGTAAGTTTCCTTTCCGTTAGCAAATTACACAGGCCTGCAAATTTTGGCTTAGTTCTGTTACAGAAAAAGAGGTAGGTGATTCTTATAGCTTTTTTGACGTAGAATACGAATCCGATTTCCAAAATGGCCCATCACGTCAGGATTTCTTGTAATATTGCCTTAAATAGCCAAAAAATGGCTATTTTGGCCACTTTTCGGAATTTTTTTTGGTTAACCAAAATTTTTTTTTTTAATTTGCAAAATTGCATCGTATAGTACTATATCTAAGCTTTAAAATCCATTTTTCAAAATTGCTTTACGATTTTCTAAAAAAAAGTTATGTAGATTTGAAATTTTTTTATTTAGAAAAATGTAGGTATAAAGTAGTTCAAAATGGCATTTAATTTTAAATCTACATAACTTTTTTTTAAAAAATCGTAACGCAATTTTGAAAAATGGGTTTTAAAGCTTAGATATAGTACTATACGATGCAATTTTGAAAATTGAAAAAAAAAATTTTGGTTCACCAAAAAAAATTCCGAAAAGTGGCCAAAATAGCCATTTTTTGGCTATTTAAGGCAATATTACAAGAAATCCTGACGTGATGGGCCATTTTGGAAATCGGATTCGTATTCTACGTCAAAAAAGCTATAAGAATCACCTACCACTTTTCTGTAACAGAACTAAGCCAAATTTGCAGGCCTGTGTTATCTGCATTCATTTGTTTGTTTTGAAAATTTAATTTTGTGGGTTAAGTATTGGCATTTTTTATATATTTTTTAATCTCAAACTTTTTAATGTGGAAAATACTTTACTTATTAAATTGTCTCGACTCTTTGGTAAAAAATCAAAAATTATCAAAAATTCGAAAAAATTCAAAAATCCGATTTTCTTAAAATTCAACATTTTTTCTTCTCTTTTATGGGATTTAGCTTCATTATTTTTGTGCCTTTGGAAAATACTTTACTTATTAAATTGTCTCGACTCTTTGGTAAAAAATCTAAAATTATCGAAAATTATCAAAAATTCAAAAATCCGAATTTCTTAAAATTCAACATTTTATCTTCTCTTTTATGGGATTTAGCTTCATTATTTTTGTGCTTTTGGAAAATACTTTACTTATTAAATTGTCTCGACTCTTTGGTAAAAAATCTAAAATTATCGAAAATTATCAAAAATTCAAAAATCCGAATTTCTTAAAATTCAACATTTTTTCCTCTCTTTTATAGAATTTAGCTTCGTTATTTTTGTGCTTTTGGAAAATACTTTACTTATTTAATAGTCTCGAATCTTTGGTAAAAAATCAAAAATTATCAAAAATTCGAAAAAATTCAAAAATCCGATTTTCTTAAAATTCAACATTTTATCTTCTCTTTTATGGGATTTAGCTTCATTATTTTTGTGCTTTTGGAAAATACTTTACTTATTAAATTGTCTCGACTCTTTGGTAAAAAATCTAAAATTATCGAAAATTATCAAAAATTCAAAAATCCGAATTTCTTAAAATTCAACATTTTTTCCTCTCTTTTATAGAATTTAGCTTCGTTATTTTTGTGCTTTTGGAAAATACTTTACTTATTTAATAGTCTCGAATCTTTGGTAAAAAATCAAAAATTATCAAAAATTCGAAAAAATTCAAAAATCCGATTTTCTTAAAATTCAACATTTTTTCTTCTCTTTTATGGGATTTAGCTTCATTATTTTTGTGCTTTTGGAAAATACTTTACTTATTAAATTGTCTCGACTCTTTAGTAAAAAATCTAAAATTATCAAAAATTATCAAAAATTCAAAAATCCAAATTTCTTAAAATTCAACATTTTTTCCTCTCTTTTATAGAATTTAGCTTCGTTATTTTTGTGCTTTTGGAAAATACTTTACTTATTTAATAGTCTCGAATCTTTGGTAAAAAATCAAAAATTATCAAAAATTCGAAAAAATTCAAAAATCCGATTTTCTTAAAATTCAACATTTTTTCTTCTCTTTTATGGGATTTAGCTTTATTATTTTTGTGCTTTTGGAAAATACTTTACTTATTAAATTGTCTCGCCTCTTTAGTAAAAAATCTAAAATTATCAAAAATTCGAAAAAATTCAAAAATCCGTTTTTCTTAAAATTCAACATTTTTTCCTCTCTTTTATAGGATTTAGCTTCATTATTTTTGTGCTTTTGGAAAATACTTTACTTATTAAATTGTCTCGACTCTTTGGTAAAAAATGTGAAATTATCGAAAATTATCAAAAATTCAAAAATCCGATTTTCTTAAAATTCAACATTTTTTCCTCTCTTTTATAGAATTTAGCTTTATTATTTTTGTACTTTTAAAAAATACTTTACTTATTAAATTGTCTCGACTCTTTAGTAAAAAATCTAAAATTATCAAAAATTATCAAAAATTCAAAAATCCGAATTTCTTAAAATTCAACATTTTTTCCTCTCTTTTATAGAATTCAGCTTCGTTATTTTTGTGCTTTTGGAAAATACTTTACTTATTAAATTGTCTCGACTCTTTAGTAAAAAATCTAAAATTATCAAAAATTCGAAAAAATTCAAAAATCCGTTTTTCTTAAAATTCAATATTTTTTCCTCTCTTTTATAGGATTTAGCTTCATTATTTTTGTGCTTTTGGAAAATATTTTACTTATTAAATTGTCTCGACTCTTTGGTAAAAAATCTAAAATTATCAAAAATTCGAAAAAATTCAAAAATCCGATTTTCTTAAAATTCAACATTTTTTCTTCTCTTTTATGGGATTTAGCTTCATTATTTTTGTGCTTTTGGAAAATACTTTATATATTTAATAGTCTCGACTCTTTGGTAAAAAATCTAAAATTATCAAAAATTCGAAAAATTTCAAAAATCCGATTTTCTTAAAATTCAACATTTTTTCTTCTTTTTTATGGGATTTAGCTTCATTATTTTTGTGCTTTTGGAAAATACTTTACTTATTAAATTGTCTCGACTCTTTGGTAAAAAATCTAAAATTATCAAAAATTCGAAAAAATTCAAAAATCCGATTTTCTTAAAATTCAACATTTTTTCTTCTCTTTTATGGGATTTAGCTTCATTATTTTTGTGCTTTTGGAAAATACTTTATATATTTAATAGTCTCGACTCTTTGGTAAAAAATCTAAAATTATCAAAAATTCGAAAAATTTCAAAAATCCGATTTTCTTAAAATTCAACATTTTTTCTTCTCTTTTATGGGATTTAGCTTCATTATTTTTGTGCTTTTGGAAAATACTTTATATATTTAATAGTCTCGACTCTTTGGTAAAAAATCTAAAATTATCAAAAATTCGAAAAATTTCAAAAATCCGTTTTTCTTAAAATTCAACATTTTTTCTTCTTTTTTATGGGATTTAGCTTCATTATTTTTGTGCTTTTGGAAAATACTTTACTTATTAAATTGTCTCGACTCTTTGGTAAAAAATCTAAAATTATCAAAAATTCAAAAATCCGATTT